TATGTCATTGCCAGGATTTTTCTCAGCCTGTGGACTATCTTGTGACTTTTGTGTGTGAAATATTTTGATGCACGGAGTATGGAATTTTTGTCTTCTGTTGTTTGTGTGGTTTTCATTCACTTTGATAGTATGTCTATGACATGGATTAAGGCCCCTAAGTTTTCTTCTATTTTTTAACTGATGATCTTTATAGTTCTAGGTTTTATATTTATATCTTTGATCCATTTTGAGCTTGTTTTTGTGTAAGGTATGGTTCCTGTTTCATTCTTCTGGAAATATATATCTAGTTTTGCTAGTACTATTTGTTAAAGAGACAATCTTTCCCATTTAATATATTTCGCTCTGAGAACGAAGGTGTACCTGTCTTTAGCCTTAGTGTTTTCCATTTCTTCCTATGTATGTGAAAGCTGGCCAATGAATAGGGAATATGAGGAAGAATGGATGCATTTGGATTATGGGATTGACAAAGAATAGTGAACGCATCACAGACCGCTAGAAGATCTAACACATTTGCATTTGAAGGTGTACAGCTGGAGTGGTCCTTAGAAGTAAAGACAGCAAGACTTCACCAGAAGCACTTTGGAAGAACTATCCCCTAGAAAGGACATTGCACTTGATAAAGTAGAAGGCAGTGAAAAAAAAGGAAGACCCTCAATGAGATGGATTGACACTGGCTGCAAAACTAGACGACACATAGGGATGATTTTGAGGATAGTGCAAAATGGGGCAGTGCTTTGTTCTGTGGTACAAAGGGTTAATGTGAGTCAGCGTCAACTGGATGTTACCTTACAACACTGATAATACATCTGACCCTTCCTTCCTTACCCTAACCATCTCAAAGAGGATGCTTTCTTTCTTGAGAATTTACCCTGACTTCCACTTCCCTAGGTGCACAAACTTTAATGACCAAAACAAAGCTGACCATTTTAATAGACTTTAATGTTAAATAAATGCCATAGTCTCGTTGTACCTTGCCCGGGCTAGATAGATATCTGTAAGATTGTGATGAATAGAGATACATACCTGGGACCTGGATAAGACAAATGTCCTTTTTAACCTAGCAAGATGAATAAGGTTGTTAGGGCATATCCAGTGGGAAGTGGGGGAGAGGTTTAAACAACGGGGATCATTCAAACAGCAGAAGGAAACTCTTAAGCATCCGCCCCTGGTTTCTTTATATACCTGCTGTTCTGCAAGTGTTAGAAAAACTGACTCTCTACCTTCAGAAAGAAGAGCGTAAAGCAAATGTTACAACCAGTGGGATTTTAACTCCAATCTAAGAAAGACATGTAGAACAGTTGGAGATTTTCAGCAATGAAATAAGCTTCTTCACAGTGCCATGAGCTTCCTGTCACTTGGGTGAAAGACTGGGCTAGAATTCTGTGTGCCTGGGTGTCATCCCATCTTCAGGGTTGGGGGAGAGGAAAGTGGGTCTACCCTGAAAAGACTTTGCAAACGCTACAACTCCTTCCTTATTGAGATTAATGCAATTTGAAGAGTTATTTTAAATTTTATATATATCTTCTGTGAAATTCAATTAGCCCTCTGTGAGGTTTCTTCATGTCTATACATATTTTCAAATGTTGGTTATGCGTGCCCATTTTGAAAATGCATCCATGATTTAGTATTTCGAGGTGTCTGTAAATTTGCATAGTGACTGTCTCCAAGTCCCGTTGACATCCATGTGGTGTCACGTCTTTTCATCTCTGTTTTCAGCGAGATTAGGACTGCTGGCTTCTCCATCTCCTGAAGGAAGATTTATTTCAGTGTTCTGAGGGTTTTATAACACACACATACATTCCCAGGACACATCTTCCTGGCTCTTTGTGAATTGTATTAGAGATATAAATCAGGAAATAGTAAAACGAAATGACAATCTTAAAAAATAAGCAGCTTAGTTTACTTTTCTAATTACTTCTTCAGAAACCCTGCCCTGAGAACTGTACTGAATGCACACATCCCCCATCCCTGTCTTCCCTGATCCTAGACTCCCTTTGTACTTCTATCACCTTCTGTGCTGCCAGCACAGCAAGGTATATTAGTCCTTGAAATTGAAGATGTTGCTACCTATGGTTTTCTCTATGCAAATCCCCACAGTGGCATGCCGACATTTCCATATTGCAGTGCTGTGGATTTTTTTCAGAATCAATCTAATTTTGGAATAGAACCTGGGTCTTGTAGCAATATTTACCACATCATTTTGAGTCACCTTGGGGATCCACAGGACTCAGCTGGTATACCACCTTAGGGATATGGGCATAATATTTGGTAGTTATCAAGCTGGCTAAATGTGCAGATCCAAGTAATGTAGCCACCCATTCGTTGTACTTGGTGACTTGCATGCACCTCTGATACTGGACTCTATACTTCCAGTGTTTCAGTTGCAGGTAACAACAGACTCCAGCATATCAACATTGGTAAAGAAGGTGCGGGACCAGGAAGAGCTTTGTTCTGTTGTAATGAGTTGGACCTAACATGATGACAGCAAGAGGAACTTCTTAGAGTCCCATTATGAAATTGTCTTAGCTGAACATAATTAATCCAGAACCTAGAATTGGGACTGTTTCACATAAAAGATGGAGATGATGGGAGGATCTTACTAACAAAGGCCATTTGCAAGCCTGGTTGAATTTTGTAACTGCACGAGGGGAAGATTTTCATTGGTGAAAAGGCTAAGTGTGCAGCAAGTGGAGTGCCAAAGAGAGCAGTTACCTGTTTTTCTGGACCTCCAGAAATTATTGGACTAGCACAGCATTGTTGAAACTGATAACCAAAATGAATTATACTCCAGCTTTGTTCTTATCTGGCTGCTCATGTGATGGGGAGGTTGGCCTTAGTGCAGGGACTCTTCAGACCGAAGGAAGGTGGGGATGCCTACCTACTTTATGGATTCAGGTTTTTCTCACTGAAAGACACTTATTGAAAGTTGCTACAAATAATGGATAGGTGTGCTTTTATGAACGTAAAAAGAGAAATGTTTAACTTTACATTTAAAAGGAAAAAGTGAAATGCTATTACCTTTATTGCCCTTTGTGTTTAAAATGCATTTAGAATTTCTTTTTGTTCTTATTCCCTTGGTGGCATTAAATATTTGTTATTTCACTGTCTGAAGACCAAGGCATATAGGTACACATATACATATACTCACATGCACACTCACACACTTCTGATTTGAGGGCCCGATGCCTTAGATGAGGTTGAACACTAGTTACTGTGTTTTTCTCTTTTCCCTCTTTGTCTCAAGAGAAAGGTGTAATTATTAATCAGCTTCTATGGGAAATAAAATAAAGGATTGCCTCACTAAGCACTGTCTAATAGAAATTTCTAAAATTATAACACTGTTGTATATCTCTGCTGCCCAATATAGTAACCATCGGCCACATGTGACTGCTATTATACCTTTGAAATGTGGTAAGTGGATTGGAATGTTGAATTTTAATGACTTTAATACAAATTTAAATACCCCTATATAACTACTGGTTACCATATTGGGTAGTGCAGCAATGCCCAAAGAATGCAGAACATAAGACAAAGTGATAGATAGATGCATTAATCAATGAGATGTACCATTCTTTTTAAAAAAGCCCTTCTATATTGAGCCAAATTATACTTATCATTTTTCATGGTTATTGAAGTAGTAACCCAAATATTGAGAATTAATAAAAACACTCATTCTTTAGCCTATACCAGTGGTTCTCAAACTTCCTAAGGTAGCAACCTTTTAATACAGTTCCTCATGTTGTGGTGACCCTCCCAACCATAAGATGATTTTTGTTGCTACTTCATAACTGTAATTTTGCTACAGTTAGGAATCAGGTGACCCCTGAGAAAGGGCCATTTGACCCCCAAAGGGGTCATGACCCACAGGTTGAGAACCACTGGTCTATACCATATACTTTATATATATCATCTATTATTTTCACAGTGTTTAAGGTTTCATATATGTGTGTGTGTGTGTGTGTTCCCATTTATGTTAGAGAGGATCCCAAGTTATGCCAATATAAAATCACAATCTCAAGGTCACAAAGCTGATAAGTGGTTGAGACAATCCCAGAAAGAATACTTAATTGATATACCTCACAATTTAGTTCGCACACATATTTTTGTACACTTACATGGGGCAAGGAGAGGCTTCAAAAAGTTCATGGGAAAATATCAGTATCTTTTCATTGTATTTTCAACATTTTTTAAGCACTCCTATCTTTTTGAAAGCCTCATACATATCTTCTTACCATCTTCAGAAAGAGAGTATGGAGGATAAAATATAGACTCTAATATTACACTGACTTATTTGAATCTTGCCTCCATTAATTGTTACCTATGTGAACTTAAAAGGTATGTCTTAATAGCTCCACACCTCGATTTCCTCCTTTAATTAGATGACTAAATAAGTGTACCACCTTATAGGTTGTAATGAGAGTTAAATGCATTATCAGGGCCTGGTCAATTGTTTGAACCATATGTGTTTACGATCACCACTGCTGTGGATTTGGAGAAGACTGCTATTTATATCTGGATGCTGTTTGGAGGTGATGTGAGGAGATGAAATGGAAATGCACCCTGGGTAGTCTTCCCTAGGAAATAAGACAGACTCTAATAATTCAAATAATTCAGGAAGAAATACCCTGCTGCGCAGTCACTTTGGTGCCTCCTTCCCCGAGATTACAAAGTTCCAGGGCCCACCGGCTCCTACCCGTTCTTCATCTCTTTGTGTTTCATGTTACTCTGATGGATGTCTCCTTTGGTGTCTTTGATTGGCGCTGAACGCTGAGCAGAGACAAACACCAACACAGCTGGAAAGAGCTGTAAGATGTGCTGTTCGCCCTTCCAGCAGGGAATGATTGCCATGGAGACCAGCATCAGAGGAAGGCTGGGACGCACACTCAGCTTGCCTCCTGAGTGCTCTGACATCTGTTTCTGGCAAAGCCAATAATGAGTGTGCTGCTAGCTTCATATCAAATGTGGGAGACTGATCCACGCCTCTTTTGTTTGTCCCATAGATGGCCTCTGCTCAAGACACCAGGTATGGCCAGAAAGACTCCTCTGATCAGAACTTTGACTACATGTTCAAATTGCTCATCATCGGCAACAGTAGCGTGGGGAAAACGTCTTTCCTCTTCCGTTACGCAGATGACTCCTTTACGTCTGCATTCGTCAGCACAGTCGGGATTGATTTCAAAGTAAAGACTGTGTTCAAAAATGAAAAGAGAATCAAGCTTCAGATTTGGGTAAGTGACTTTGAACGCTCAGTGTTCTTCAGTCTGGGATGTTGAACATGCAAGTGTGTAAGGGGGAAAAAAACAAAACCAAAAACTTGCTGCTTCTTCTGTCCCCATGGGGTCCACACACCTTTATTTCCAAGTTCTTTGCTGCACAACATTCTCTTTCAAAGTCTGTGGGTTATACACCTTTAATATATGCTGGCTGATAGGAAATGACATTCCTTATGCATTTTCAGGAGAAAAACTTCATCCCTTTGTCTTGACACTCAAGGAGAAGTCTGTCTCTTGTGACCTATTTGACCTTAAGCAAGCCCATGGATTCTTCTATGCATCTCTGTTAGTCTATAAAATAGGCCAAGAGAGCTGGCCATTTAGTTCGCAGGAAGCAGCTTGCCGTCGGCGTTTTAACACAGATGTTAAAGCGCCAAAGGCAGGGAAAGCTCACCATCAGTCCCTTCAGAAAGCCTCTGATACAGCTTTGAACATGGTCTGTTTACACTTCACAGGCTTTGTGTCCTCACCTCTGAGGACTATGCTCACAAACACACAAATACAAAGAGAGAAAACAAAACAAATTACTTACTTGGAATTGTGTCTTCCAATGAGGGAAAATCTCTTGATAAGTTTTGAGGTCCTATGTTTAGCTTTCTGCCTTCCCAGCTCTAGGAGGCTGAAAATCAGAGATTCCTTCACTAATTTAGGAGACCAGCTAGCAATAAACAGAAGGAAAATGTATGTGAGTATCAAGTGTCAAATAATATAAGACATGAGGTAATCAAAAAGCTGTGTACACCAAGAGGGTTAATATTAGGTGCTGTCTCTGACTCATACTCATGGTGACCTTATAACAATGAAAGACTGCCTGATTCTAGGCTAGTCTTAAATCATAGCTCTGTGAGCCCTATGTTGCAGCCACTGTGTCAATCCATCTCACTGATGGCTTCCTTCATTTTTGTTGACCCTCTATTTTACCAACCAGGATGCCATCTCTAAGGATCGATTGTTCCTTCCTGATGGCATGTCCAAAGGCATTACTTCTAAAGACCATAGTCAAATATATAGATATATGACCTTCAAGTGAAGTATAGATCAGTTTCTACAGTTTGCTTAGGCTCATTGATTCCTATCTACCAATACCTTTGCCATTCAAATGAACTTTGGCTATGAACAGCCATTTCCTAACTGGGCACCATCAGCTTTCTTCACCATATTTTCTTGTGCACCCATTTGTCTTCAGCCATCCTGTCAGGGAAGATGAACATCACAGAATGCTGGATTATTAGAACAAAGTGTTCTTTTGTTGAGGGAGTACTTGAGTCAAGACCCAATGCCATCTGCTAACTTAATACTTAACATATAAACATATGTACATAGATATAGTTCCCTCTTGTTATATATAAATATATTTACATATGTACATATCTGTATTTAGACCTCTATAAATGTCCTTTGCTCTATAAATGTTCTTTCCTCTATTTCCTTTGACTTTCTTCTTGTCCCACTATCATGTTCTGCCTTCATTTGGGTTTCGGTAATTCCTCTTGGTTACCTTGCCCTTTATGAAACCCACCAGGCATCCTACACCCTTCTGGCCGAACAGTCATTTCCTAAAAAGTGTTTTCTACACAGTTCTGAGACAATTCTGATAGCTACTATAATCCAGTGCTGGTGACAAGGTTGATATGTAGGACTGATGATAAACTTTACCCCTTGAATATAGAAAGTTGAAGGGAAAATAAATCCCAAAGAATGGCATGGAAACTTTTTAATGCCCCGTGTTAAAATGTGTGTGTGTGTGTATATATATATACACACACACATATATATACACACACACACATATATATATATATATATGATGGCTCTTAATATCTTAAAGCTCTTAGAAGTAAAATGGAGTATTTTGCAGAAAATGCATGGCCATCAAGTCGATGCCATCTCAGAGCCACTGAGGCAATACATACTTACAAGTGGTAGGTAGCCTCATCTTTCTTCCAGCCGGTGGCTTTAAACCACCAACCTTGTATTCAGCAGCTCAACACTAACCCAATGCTTACAAGAGTCTTGGAACCCTGTGGGGACAGATAGAGGCATAGACAGATATACTTTTAGATAGTTTACCAAAAATTGGTTGTTTAAATTTCATTTATTCTACCTCTACTGTTTCTATGTCTAATCAGAACTCGTGTAAGAACTTGGAAAGACAGGTCCAAGGCTGAATGTCTTTGCTGCTATCCTATTATCTGTGGCCATTTTGTCAGAAAGGTCTGTCTGTTTAATACACTTTAGCTCAGGAATGTCATATCACTCACGTACCTCTTTGAGTGGCAACAGAAAGAACATGCCTGTTGTTTCAATTTCAGTCTGGACTCATTCTTACATCCTCTTGGGCTTCAGAAAACCAACTTTCATATGGAGGTAACTTTCATATTCATGTTGTGTGTATTTTCAAGAACATTGGTGAATTGAAAATCACGTGATAGCCATACACCTCTTAACTCTGACAGTTATTCCTCTGGCTGACATCTCCTGGTTTCTCTTACTTAGAAATGTTTAAAAATGACTTTTGTGTTCATATAGATAAAACACCAAGGTCATGGGAGAGGGTGGGGGGAAGGGAAGAGGTGTTAACAAATCCAGGGACAAGGGAACAACAAGTGATCCAAATTGGTGGGGAGGTGGGTGTGGGAGACCTGGTAGGGCAGGATCAAGGGGAATGTAACAAAGATGAAGTGCTGAAATCCTGGT